TCATAATTAAAGAACTATAATTTTACATATTTTCTTCCATAATTTCCATTTTAATTTGAGAGTACATTTCCGTTTTAGGGTTCCGTAGCCCTCTTCAATGAAATGAAAAAATCGATTGAAACAGATTTGGATATTCGTGGATTTCATATGCAGATCTAATTTAGGATATGGTAACTGTATCGGAGATTTAAAGGTTTTCCAAACCTATTTTAAATCTGAGAAGAACTTATTAGTTAGAAGGTCTTGGTTATCAGCAAAGGAATTTTAAACGACAAACAGAATTTGAATGCACTACGCTTCCTCATTATAAATATATCTCATTATGAGTTACCCTCAAGCAATGTCTTAGTTACTGCGTTATTTTTATTTTGGATGGTTGTAAATCTGGCATATTGACATATTGCCTGTTTTGAACCTCTATGAAAATTTTATAGAAGAAATTTTTGCGAATTTAAGTAGTACTTAAAACTCTATTCCGGAGACAGACCCACAACACTTTTTTTGAAGATTTATTAAAGCGAGGACTTCGACCAGACCTTAGTGGTATGTGAATCCTGAAATAGTTTAAGTTAAACTTCACACTATCGACACAAAAGATTTAATAGTTTGCATTTCTTTTCGTCAATGATCTCAAAATTCACTTTCTTCAACCTCTCTTTTCTTCAGTTCTTTTCTTCAGTGAACATTCTTTCATCTCGCATTCTGAGTACTTTTATGCCTTAATTCAGCTGTTTTAATTGTATGGGGTTAATTATTTCTTAACTATAATTAATAAAATTCGTCTTCTCTGCGTTAACACATATAAGGCATTACATACTCTTAGTTCTAAATTCTAATTACTGCAAAACATTCTCTAAAATAACACTCCCTATATTTGGATTCTCCAAAGTCTTTAAGCTTACACTCTATTTATGTTGAAATATTTATAAATACAGGTTTGAAAGACATAGATTATCTTTGCCTTCTAAAGTTAGTGACTAGACGGTCAGCTGTCTAAAATTTGTTGTATTATGCAGGTGGTAGAACAATTAACTCACAGGGCAGTACTTGGTGACCATAAAAGAAGTAGGTTGAGGAGAATATGGCTATATAACTAAGTAGATGACCCTAACAAAGTGGGTGTATGGGATTGAAGTGTATCACAACTGTGAAATTGGAAGATTCTTGAAGACAACTATGATCTACCAAGAACTGTAATGCTAAGAATATCATTGAAATCAATTTGAATGACTTTGTCAAATTTTAAAGAAATTATCTATCTTAGAATCTCTATTTCAAGTATTGCCAATTTCAAGACCCTCAATATGTTTCTTAATAATTCGAGTATTTAGTATCGAGTTGAGTATTTAATATCGAATTGATAAGAAAAGAGATTATTTGTTTGTTGTTGAAAATGTTGTGATTTTATTTGAAGCCAGAAACAAAAAACCATAGAAGAGGACCAAAGAAAGTCCCTTCTTTCGAGAAATAATATTTCAGTGAAAAAATGTAAAATATGTGGAGAATGCAGTGAAAAGTGACAGTCATCGTCATCGTCATCGTATTGGTCGTGTTCACTGGATTGTGTATCGTGTAAATGATGAAACACAATAGAAAATAAATTAGAAAAATTAAATTAAAACGTTAAACTTCATTCGGAAAATCCGCTGCTTTCCTTACCTCACCTCTTCTTTCTTCTAATACTCGTAATCTTAGCGTTCCAACGAACACTCACTCATTCCCTCGCTACTCTTTGACGTTCCTGTTAAGTGCGTTTCGGCTGTGGCTGTGGCTGTGGTTTGTTGTGGTACAAATGCACAGTAGATGTATCTGAATCTGAATCTGTGGATGAGGCTGAGGTTGAGGCTGACGCCGTTACTGCGACCGTCTCGATCTCCATCTCCATTTTCGTCTCCGTCTCCGTCATCGTACTCAGGTAGATTTCTTTTCTTTGAACTTGAAGAATTCTTCGCCTTTTATTCAAAGTTAGCATTAATTTTTTCTTTTTAACGTTTCGTTACGTTTACAGTTTTTGTTTTTGTTTTTGTTTTTGCTTTTTATATCTTGGTTGTGTGCTGGTTGGTTTTGGTGTTGTTGTGGTTGGGATTTACGTGCACTGCGATTATGAATTCAAAGCGGTAACCCTAGAAACTCGTTTGTTGCGTGTATCTCACCGACTGTCGCAAACGCACATTCGTTCGGCTCAACTCCACTTTTCATTCGCATTCTTTTCAAATATTTTCTATAACTTTACTACCGCATTTGTTGTTGTTACGCTTGTGGTTGCTATTACCATTTCGTTGTTGTTGTTGTTGGTGTTGTTGTTGTTGTTGTTGGTGTTTTCTGTAATTCAGTTTTAGATTCTATAGATTCTATAATCAAAGGCTCTGGCTGATGTTGCTGGCGTTGCTTGCGTTGCTTGCGTTGCTGGCGTTGCCGATGCTGTTTTTGTTGCTATTCACCCAAATTCTGAAGTATCTCGCATGTGTTTGGGTTTGTATCTGCAAAGTACGAGTAGTAAGTTTTGTAGTTTGATTTGCCTTAGTTTGTTTGCCGTTTGCCGTTTGTTGTTTGTTGTTTGTTGTTTTGAAGAGTCAACTGTGGCTGTATTTTGAGGTGAGCTTTTATTAGAATCCATTATGAATTGAGCCGAGGTAGCTTGCACCATCCGCATATATGACTTCCTCACCAGTTGCGATTAACTCAATCTAAAATTTCAGATATACGAGTACAATATTTATATTTACTTATGTTGTTCTTGGCTGTACTGCTGTTGTTGTTGTTGTTGCTGTTGTTTTTATTTCTGTTGCGTGGGTTGCATCTGCTATTGTTGTCGTTGTTTAGATATTGTTTCTTCCGATTCATACAATACAATAATTTTCCATTCTCTTACTGTTAAGATACATTTTCGTATTGGAAACATGTGCGATCGTCTTGTGGAATTCTAACTTAGGCCCGCATAGTCGCAGTCGCAGTCGCAGTCGCAATCGCAGTTGTTTCAACCAAGTTAGTGCCACAAAACATTTTAATATGCTTCATTATTGTTGTTTGGCATTCGATTTTGATCAACACATCTTTGTATTATTGACCAAACATTCATCAATATTAGTTTTAGTTGTACTCAAATGGCTTTTATAGCTGTTACCTCTTCGATTTCTTCATATTAATTTTGTTACTCTTCATTCGATGACGAGTATTTTTATTTCATTTAATTTCATTGTATTTTATTATAAATATAGTGTTAATGTTTAAGAATTGTTATTTGATTGACAATACAAATACTGATTGTATGTCGTATATATTGTGAACATTTAATTTTATTCAGATTATTGTTGTTTTAAAGCCATAATTAAATTAATATACATTTGCATAATTATGTATGGTATATAACGTTTTTCTTTGTCTGATGATATTTAACATACATACTTTTATAGATTATTACATTATATAGATTATGTTAAGTATATAACATATAGTAATCAGGCCAAAACTATTCAGGAGATATAAAGATGTCTTACCAGTGGTCGACTATCATGTAAGTCAACCATATCTGTTGATACTATTTACATAGTCTATATCGAAACAAGAGGAGTAGCAGAACTATTGAAATCTACAAACTATATAATAAGATTAAACTTGAAACTTATTCAGAAGTAAACACTTAAGACATCACATGGAATGCTACACAATTCAATTTTATTTCAAGTCCAGGTTCATTCATTTGCGGCTGTAATTTTATTGAAGAAGCGCGTATTAGTAACTTATATCATTTTTTTAACCGGTGGCCAAATAGTAGTCGATACTCTTCATGTACTAAAGTAAAAGTCATCATATTCTATGCTAGGGCTGTGCAGATCAGATGTGGTCGCGGGCCAATACAAATCACTGTACAGATTAGAGGGCCGCAGAAACAAATTGACACGTTCACAATTATTAATATTAAATTTAGTTCTATTAATTTATTAATATAAATTTTAATTTATTTGGTATATCATAAAAATAAAATAATGTAGTTTTACCCCAGTATACCAAAATAAAATTTGCGTAATTGTAGTAGATTAAGAACATATCTCGGGCCGCACAAACACCAGCCCCGAGCCGCATGTGGCACACGGGTCGTATTTTGGATAGTCCTATTCTATTCCATAATTTGAAACAGAGCTCGCTAGATGTCTTTTGGCAACCGTAAAGTGGGTGTATTGGCACGCTATGCCGCGCTTTGTTTAAGTTGAAAATAACTTCGCCCTTTTAGTTCACTTTATATTAATTACAAATAGGCTTTAAATTAATTAAGTGAGTTTGTTGTTTTAGCAAAAGTAGTGAGTTCATGGGTGTTTTATTGAGGTCTGGATGAAGTCTGGGATGCTGTATAAGCAGCCAATAAATTTTATTAAATATAAAATGAATTATTTGATTAAAATTTATACTTATATATTAAAAAGGTATTAATCCATACAATGTATATTTAACATGCATATTTTTTTTATTCTAGATAACAAAAATGTTGCCAGTGAATAATGATGTGATGCCAAACAAATAATGATGAATTTAAAAATGCATCATATTTTTTCCAACGAAAAATATTGCCAAAATTTGTTAATAATTTGTTGCAAATTTTGAATTGAACTCGTTTTGGTGAGTGAAATAAAATTATAATACACAAAATGAAAAAATATAAATCGATTAAATTAAAAAGTGATGCGGAAAGAAGTATAAAAATGACTTCTGGAAATAATCGATCAGATCCTAATAGGAGAATATCAGTAACATGTAAAAAAATATTAAGAACAACATTGCCAGCAGTAAAAACAAAAATAGATTTAAGTAAAGAAACTGAATCCACAATATATCACAAATGTCGATGTCGACAACGCACCATGTTTAGTTGCCTCAATAAACATAAAACTGTCATATTGTCTTTGCTGATTGTGGCGCTCCTGCAGTTACCAATGGTCATCGCGGAACAAATTCGCGAATTAGAAGTATCAGAAGGTGTGTCCATAGGTCATCAAATTGGTTTAATAAGTGAATTTATGAAAGGCGTTGATAGCGGTCCTCCGTACTTAATAGTACCAGTAACGGGCAGTGGTGTTGAGACCGATCTTGCCATAGATCATGCAACCGGTGAAATACGGACAAAAGTGCATTTAGATCGTGAAACGCGTGCATCGTACAGTTTAGTCGCCATACCGTTAAGTGGTGAAAATACACGTTTTGTGATTCGAGTGCTCGATGAAAATGATAATGCACCCACATTTCCGACGCCGATTATGAATATTGAATTTCCTGAAAACACACCTCGTGATGTGAAAAGAACGTTGAATCCGGCGCGTGATCTTGATCTCGGACGTTATAATACACAGCGTTATAATATAGTGTCGGGTAATGTAAATAATGCGTTTCGTTTGTCATCGCATCGCGAACGTGATGGTGTCTTGTATCTGGACTTGCAAATAAATGGTTTTCTCGATCGCGAAACGACGCCGGCATATAGTTTAGTGATTGAAGCACTTGATGGCGGCAATCCACCGTTACGTGGACAAATGACTGTTAATATAACGATACAAGATGTGAACGACAATCAGCCAATTTTTAATCAAAGCCGCTACTTTGCCACAGTACCTGAAAATGCAACCGTTGGTACTAGTGTACTTCAAGTATATGCCTCCGATACTGATGCAGATGAAAATGGTTTAGTTGAATATGCTATCAATCGACGTCAGAGTGATAAAGAACTTATGTTTCGCATTGATCCGCAAACAGGTCTAATATCGGTGAATAAACCTTTGGATTTTGAAACAAAGGAGTTACATGAATTGGTGGTTGTAGCTAAGGATCATGGAGAACAACCGCTGGAAACCACAGCGTTTGTATCGATACGTGTAACTGACGTTAATGACAACCAACCGACAATTAATGTTATATTTCTAAGCGATGATGCTACACCAAAAATATCTGAATCTGCTGAGCCAGGAGAATTTGTGGCACGCATATCTGTCAATGATCCCGATTCGAAAACAGAATATTCAAATGTAAATGTAACCTTAAATGGTGGTGATGGACATTTTGGTCTTACCACGAGGGACAACATTATATATTTAGTAATCGTATCGAAGCCCTTAGATCGGGAATCCCAACCTAATTATACACTTAGTGTTATTGCTACAGATAATGGCACACCGCCATTGCATGCTTCAAAGACTATTTATTTGCGTGTTACCGATATTAATGATAATGCACCAGAATTTGAAAGAGAAGTGTATCATGCGAATGTTATGGAAGTAGCAGATCCTGGCACTTCTGTACTGCAAGTGGTGGCATATGATCGTGATGAAGGTAATAACTCGGCTATTATATATGCGCTTTCAGATACGCCAGAAACACATTCGCAATGGTTTCAAATAGATGCGTATACGGGATTGATTACAACGAGTATGCATATCGATTGCGAGACCGAACCAGTACCACAGTTGTTGATCGTAGCTAAGGATAACGGACATCCACCGCTTTCATCAACTGCAACTGTACTTGTCACCATACACGATGTTAACGATAACGAACCGATTTTCGATCAGAGCTTTTATAATGTTTCTGTGGCAGAAAATGAACCTGTCGGAAGATGTATTTTAAAGGTAAGCTAATAGTATTTATATATCGAACAAATTATCATATCATATCTTTAATGTTAATATCATTGTTAATGATAAAGTAGTAGTGATCTGTTTTAAAATGCATAAAAATTTGCTTACTAAATCAAAGCTTGCTATAGGTACTCCCTAACAAATAACATTTTAGGGTATAAGAAAGGTTAAAACTTGTTTTAAATCTTTCTAATTTTAAACAGAAATACAATGATCTTTAATAGATCACTTGATTCACTATACCCTAACATAACCCTAACATACCCTAACATAACCCTAACATACCCTAACATATTTTCCCATTAAAGATAGTTTTAGTTTGAAGATTTAAGAAGCTATTCAGAATCGACTATAAATTGTGGGTTTGTAACATCTAAGTTTCGTGAAATCCATAAGACTTGAACAGGAGTTTATATTTTCCAATATTTAAACTAGGATATAACTATATCAACCAATCTCTCAATTTCTTATAAATACCTAAACTTTATAATAATTATGTTTGTAAGTATATTATAATAGGAATAATTGACTTCAACAAATTTCATTGGACAGATCACTTTATATTTTTTTATTCTACTTCTGGATATCAATATCAGAACCGATAAAATTTGGTTATACAAAAGGTTTAATATTGAAGATACTTGTAATGTTTCCATAAAGTTAAAATTAATATATTTACGGAATCAAAATATACTATTTTATCACATATATTATGTGATCTATGTGATCATTATGTGATCACTTATGTATTATAAAGTAGTGTTTCCAAAAGTGGTCGGGTCTATGCCTAAAATCCATTGGTGTACGGTTAGCTTTAATGTTTTCAATTTAATAGAAAAATACAGGCTTCAATTTACAATATTATTAATATATTATATTATATTAATATATTAAAATAATATTATTATATTTCTTGTATTAATCTAAAATATCTACTTAAGTCTTCTACTTTATTCCGGTGGTAATGATTTCCATAGTTTTTTTTTTTTATTATTTGAAACATAATACGTACAATAACATAAATACAAGTTTCATTTGTCTACGACTAGTTCTAGAACTATCAACCAGTTTTGTTATATTACATACGTTTTAGAATTGTCAAGTGCTAATAGAGTAGTAATCTACATTATTATTAGACTACTAATTCGGAAGTAGATCTAAAGGCTTTCCATTTCCAGTGATAATATTATTTGAAATTATTGTAGATTGTAGATTGCTAAAGATATTTGTTTAAGTGGGTTAGTGTTTTCCTACTTAATGGTTTTCAGGACTATATCTAAACTTATGTTCCTTTACTTTACTTATGTTCCTTTACTAATTACAAAATCGTGCATCTTCTATAAAAGTCAGATATGTTATCTATAGAAGTATTATTATTACTAAAAGTCTTAACGTGAAATAGTTCAATAGCCGGTACTGCGGCCAAAAGAGTCCTTTCACACCAATTTCACTAGTCCGTTTTAAGTTCATTTGAAACTTTACTAAACTATTTGTTTTCTAAGTCAGTATCTTTGTGGCTAAGTAGTGCCAAATTATTGCTAATGTCGATAGTTTTTGCCAATATCGATTGTTTTTTTTACAATCTTTGAATATGTTTTCTAATATATGTATAAATGGGAGAATATATAATATATACACGTAGATATATAACTTATGTATATACCTAGCTATATAATATATAAAATTGTTATTTATAATTTTTTTTTTTGTTGAAATCTTTTAGTTCTCATCAAATTTGAAATCACCTACAAAGAAACACTTAAAACAAAAACAAGAAAATAATAATAATAATAAAATAAAATAAAAGCAAGAAAAAAATTTAATAAACTTTTTTATTACAACAATTTTTTTTCTCTATTTTATTATTATTACTTTTTTATTTTCAAGTTAAGTTGAGTTGAGTTGATTTTCATGTACTTAAATTGCTTAAAGTTGTTTAGGAATTTGACAGCCTAAGAAGGGGTCACATTTGATATTCAAGTCAAGTCAAGTCAAGACAAGTCAAGTTCCCCACGTTAAGCGTTAAAGAACAGTTTTATTGTAATTTTGGGAACAAAATGTTATAAAATTGTAATCTGCAGATGATGATGATGATGAATGGATTTATTACATTCCAAAAAACCAACAAACACACAAAAAAAAAAAAATATACACACAAAAATAGATAAAAAATACGAGACAGAAATAACAACAAAGTAACGTACCTTATTTCTCAAACATTTTTTATGAATTGTTTTTTCTTTTTATTGTTTTTGTTGGGTTTTGAATTTTTACTGAACAATTTCTCGGTACAAAACAGTACAAATGCTATTAAATGTGTTTTAGTTGTTGTCATACAATTATATACTCTAGCATTAGATTAGCTTTAAATATATATTTGCTTACATGTATTTATATATATACATATAGGTAAACACGCAGACATACTGCATTCATGAAAAGTGCATGCTTATGTACAACATACCTATGTACAACATACCACCTATATGAACAATACAACATGCGTTGGCCTGTAGCATTACGCGTAGATGTGACGAACTGACTGCACCCATACATCAAAGTTAGGAGTAATGTGCTCCTATAAACAGCTCATGACTAAAATTTTGATTATGGCCATGTTAATGTAACACCGGTTGTGGTGATTTCATTTAACACCCTACACCTACGTTATAATTATATTGGTTTTTCTTTACGTTTTTGCTAAATTATGGAATTTAAAACTCACTAATGCGAAAGCGTATTTATTATAAGTGCTATAAGTGTAAGTCGTATATTATCTACAATAATTATCTAAAGAACTTGTCGCTACATTCTTTAGCTTTAAAAAAAAAAAACAATATTTGTCGGATTAAAGTTTTTTACAAAGCAAATAATATTAAGAATAAGGTACTTTTTTTTCTGTCTACAAGAGTGACACGCATCTGTTTACATTCGTTTGTCTTTCGATCCGACCGACCATACAATTTCGAGTGGCTTATTTTCATCTTATTTGCTGTGTTTAAGGGATTTAATGATTTTTATTTGAAATCTACAGTAAAACTGTGTTAACTGTTTGTTCATTTGCGACTTAGCTAATTGAGCGGAAATAATTAAAATACAAAAAAAAAAAATTAGGATTTTGTTGTTACCTGTTAGTAGAAATCGTACTAATTACAAAATCGTGTTAGTGAAGGCAGAAAAAAAAAATACAAAGAAAAATATCTTACAACATATAGACCTGATACTAAACTCGAAAAAAAAAAACGAAATGTTTTTGTGCATTATTCTGAAAAGTTTTACAAGATTATTATTTAATAACAAGATTATTAAGTTAAATAAGAGTCTGGTTATATTCAGTTAGTTAAGTAAATGCGACATATCCAACAAATTAACACAGTTAGCCTAAGTAATCTGTTAGAATATCGCTTGATCCTGATAGAAATTTCCATTAAAACATTTTGTCGATATCATAAAACGTAAAGGTTTTTTTTTGTAGTATCTATGTATTGCTCAAGAACAGAGAAGGTCTATTCTGTTTATATACTAAACTTACCTCTGGGCATATGGATCTATTTTGTAATAATTATTGAAGGCAAAATCCATGCTGTGGTAGTCGTTACCTGAAAGATGTCGAATCTGATAGAGGCCATATTACAATTTATAGCTCATATCAATGACTTAACGCTGATGTTTTCTTCTTAGATGTTTTCTACTCATATTATTCTGATTCTGAATCCTTAGACCAAGTAAGGATTTTAGATCTTCATTTTAATCAGTTGAGAATCATCAAAATCAATTAATCCAATCAAAAAGCTCGAAACGCAGCTTCAATACGCTAATATAAATCTAAAGAGAAAATCTAAAAAGCACATTTTTCTGATGATGTTTTTTAAGCCACCTAAAGGCACCGAGTAACATGATTAGAATATCGTAAATAAGTTCACAAATATAATATATATTTGTCTTTAGATTCTAAAGAAGACTCCTTTTTAAGCAGTATTTAATATTTATTCAACCAAAAACGATTTTGTTTCCATCTTCATATCATTTACTTTAAGTTTTAATTTTTTTCTTCTATAGTATACTCAAAGGTATAGTATATTCCGTTTCGTCGAGATGTAGTACCCTGTAATTTTCTATCTCCTTTTGTAGTATACAAAAATCTCTATAATAATTTTATACAAATTAGTGGTCCTTGACTTCCAATCTTATATCATGTTTTCACTGCAGCTAAAATTGCTTATGTTAATGAAATCAAGATATCGGCGTTTCCATGGGCATAAGCTGATTTATGCATATGAAATTGTTTGTTTGTTTACATTTTACGTATAAAACGCATAACAAATATATTAGATTTTGGTAATTTCCCTTATGGATAATTTTAAGTGTTGCATTTGACATTTTTTGCCTTAAATCAGTTGATTTATTTATAATGACCTCATTTATATAAAAGTTTAATTGTAAATTATCGCGAAATTGCTTAAATAAGGGAAGTGGAAACTTAGTTTTGAATAATAATACACACTTCTGCGCTAGGAGTTAGTTAAGAATATTTATGATAACTTCATAACTCAATGCAAGACATCAATCATGATATCAGTGTTTCGCTCTCTGGGAGCCAATACTGAGTTTATTTTCTATGACTTCATCTCATACATAAAGATTTCTTTATTGCTAATAAAAATATAAAAAAAATTATAAAAATCATTATATATAGAAATCATTATCTTAACTAACTTCATGTTCACTTGCTCAAAATTTTTTTCTATTTAGTCCATACATTTGTAATCGCAATCTTTGGAGAAAATCTGCAGAAAAATTTGAAAAAAAAGGAATCCCAAAATATTTTCATTACTTAGCATTTACAACCTTCACAGATGTGACTTAACTCTGTGATTGATATTTTAAATCCGACTTTTATCTAACTTTATTTTAATCTGCATTGTCACATTTCACTTCTTGAATGAAGAAACCTGTAAAGTGAGCCATACCAAACCAGCCACCCGGACGAC